ATATATTGTTATACATGTATAATTCTATACAAATATATACATATGTACATACGTGTGTTGATATATATATATATATATAAAATTTCATAACTCCCGCACGCGAATGAGAAACGCTTCGCTGCCATTGGCCATTTGGTAAAAGGAGGGGGTGGAGCCAGCTTTTAGCGGTGCTTACTTTTTTTCTGATTTTTATTTAAAACGCTGGTTTACTTTTTTTTCCACGTTCGTTCGTTGTGTAAGGAAGTTGAACGCAAATTCAACGTTGCGCCGGAGTGACGGACCGCGGTGAAAAGATGGATAGATGTCATTGAGAGGAAACGAAAAAAAAAAGAAAAGAAAAGAAAGAAAGAAAGAAAACACGAAAAGAAAAAAAAACAACAGAAGTGTGCGTAGCTTTTTTTTTTTTAATGGACAACGAACGTCGGCAGGTTATCGCTTCCGCCTTCTCTTGCGTTCTTCTCGTTGCCTAGTCGAGTTCTCGCCCCGACGGAGGAATGAAAACACGGAGAAAAACAGAAACAGTTCGGGGAAAAGTCCAAAACGTGAAAACGAAACGGAGTGGAGAGAACAGACATGAGAATATGCAGACAGGACGGAAAGAGATGGACAAACAAACGTAACGACGGAAAAGAAAGAGCGAGAGATAGAAAGACAGACAGAGGAAAATTGACGGAGAGAGAAAGAGAGAGAGGGAGAGAGAGAGAGAGAGAGAGTGAGAAAGAAAGAATGAGTGGGAGAGAAAGAGATACCAATAGAAAGAAAAGAAAAAAAGAAAAATTAACATCGAGAGTGTGATATACAATTCTTTTCCATATGATAATTCGAGAAAGAGAGAGCGAGAGATTGAGAGAAAGAAAGAGAGAGAGAGAGAGAGAGAGAGAAAGGAAAAAACAAAGAAAAAAAAAGTTACCTTACTGACGTACGCACGCACGCACGCGCGCACGTGACAGAGTGCTTCGAAGATGTCGAACATGATGATCGTTCGGTAGTGACCGTGAAACGTGTTGCTTTGTTCTCTTTGCGCAGGTGAGTTGAGATTATCTGAGTCACCATTCGATCTCTGAGAGATTACATTTGCGCGGGGGAAGCGAGGGAACTAGGGGAGGCCAGCCGCTCAAAAAAAAAAAAAAATATATATATATATATACAAAAAATATAACAAAAAATAAAACAAAACAAAAAAACAAAAAAAAAAAAAAAAAAAAATAAAAAAAAAAAAAAAAAAAAAATAGAACCCAGGCAGAAATTTGTTTCACTATCGTTAAATTACATTAGACGATAAATTATGAATATTTCCTATATTTTTGTATACTATAGACTTTAGTACCACGAGCGCATAAAGATCGACAATTAAAAATAACGCTATTTACGCTATTCCCAACATTTGTCGCAAATGTCTAGCTAAATTAAAAATAGCTGGGAAAATTTGCCCATATTCTTCGTAAAACGTTCATCTACGTTGCGAGGAGGAGCTATTACAAGCTCATTGTTCCGCGGTCAATTCAAAATTACTGTTGTGCACGGTATATTAAACATTCATCAACGAAACGACGCGTTTATATAACTTAAAAGAATAAATTAGTCGAGCCGCGCACGTGAATGGATATTCAAACGAAACTTTTTTCCCGAAGATTGCATTGTCTTAGAATGAGCTGGGAAATATATTACTAAAAAGATACAGTTTCGTCGGGAGAGCTGCTCGTTTAGTTCCGGCACACGTCAAACGCTATTTAACTGGTTTTGCATTTTCGCCAAAGATTTTATAATGAAATCCACGAGACGGATATTAAAGTGTGATTTAATTAATCCCCTGCTATTCTGGCATCTTTGAAGCTATTCGACAGAGAGAACGTGACGAAATTAAACATTGTACAATTCCATTGTTGCGCTTCAATTTAAACGTCTCGGGTTCAATTGGCCGACAATAATAAATTGAAGAAAAAAACAAACAAAATGGAAGATAAAATAGCAACGCAGATGATACAAGCATAACATCCTATTTCAAATGTTGATTTCGCGAAAATTACGATTCTGCGACTTTTCATTTCACCCCGAGTGCAAGAATTTCCTTCAGCCTTCGTTCGTGCTCTCATCGAGGAAAGGAAATAGAGGAAATTGATCGGATTAATATGTTCGTCGATGAGCGAATTACCAAGTGGAAATTTCAACGCCGGCCGAGGCAAAAAAAAAAAAAAAGAAAAAAAAAATTAGCTCGTTTATGATCCGCTTGATGACGATAGTATTGAATTACGCCCGGAAGAAGTGACGAGAGGAAGAAGGAGAGATGGGAGCGAGCGGAAGAAATAAGAGTGCCGAACGAGAGAGGTTGAATAAATCAATGGATTTAAAAGATTACGAGCTTCTTAGAAAGGATCGGCACGGCATCCATTCATTCATGAATCCGCCCGCGCGTTCTTCGTACCCGTTGCCGTGCATCCCCCTCGCTGAATTTAACAATAATTTATTTGCGACATCGAAGGAAGGCGGCCATTGAATTGCAAACGCCGAAAGCGGCGACAAAGGTGTGAAATGAAGAGCAACGAGGGACAGTGGTACGAGATCAAACGAGACTCGGCAAGAAATAAAGGAGAAGGCACGGACGGAGGCGAGGCAAACCGGAGGAATTTAGATCGAGCAATTTCGAAATCGCGCTGCCGGGCAAATAATTGAACGGACGTTTGAAAAATCGATCGAGGATAGGATGGAAGTGAAGGTGGAAAAAATCGAAGGAAACACGCTAAACGACGCTGTAGATCGCAATCGAGAAATCGAATCGAATCGAATCGAGGGAAAATGAAAAATTGACGGCAAATGGAGCTGGATCCCGGCGAAGAGATAAATTTTCTGGACGTTCGAATTTTTATCAGTACATAAATTCCTGTGAAAACGCGTGGCGCGTGTTTTTTTTTTTTTTTTTTTTTTTTTTTTTTTGAGGAAGTTTATAATCGCAGAAAATTGCTGTGTACGCTGCGAATCGGTGAAATTAAAGTGACAGCTGACGACATTATTAGAATTAATGGGGAAGTAAATGTTCCTTTGTGTTAATGCGTGCGAAATAATTATTATTATACGCGTGAAATGAAACGAAAGAGGGATTATATTTAATTTTTAAGCCGAACAGCTGCGAGAAGCATATCCAAAGTTTGAATTTTTATTAATTTTTATTATCCCTCTGAAAACGTGTGGTGAAGACAATTTTGTGAAGGCAGGTGTCTCTCTATGGACTTCAGAAATTATCATGAACATTCACATTGTTTAATTGGAATGATCAAAGTGAATTGAAACGAATTAGAACAATTAAAAGTAAGTTAAAGGCTGGAAAACTTTATATTTTTCACAAAGATATACACTCTAGTTCAAAAGTTAATACACATAAGAATAATACTGTTTCGATTAATGATAACATTAACAATATAGCATTAATAATGAGAATATAATAACTTCGAGAATATAATAACTTTTTAAATGATACACGAGCATAAAATATTTATTTACATGGAAACCGCAATATTTATATATTTGAGCGAAAGTTGTACACTATAATAATTGTTACGTATGCATAAATCACTATCGTCCAATTTCAAAGTCAATTCGTTCCAATTTCCAAATGCCAAAAAATTCCGGGAAACATTGTAATCGAAGAACAGTGAAGAAGTGTATTCTCCGTAATAAGCGCTAGATATGTTGCTTCAATTCTAGAGGGAAATTCCGAAGGCTGCCGCAACGTCCAACAGCTGTTACTCCTGTTTGAAAGACGCTTGCTACTTAATAGGCTTCGACTGATCAAATTATCTCCGCAATAAAGCATCGTAGTTAACGACCACGTAAGTAGAGTCGACACTGATTAAACACGTAAACATGAAAAATTGGATATATATATCGTGCCGGGGGCGAGGAGAAAAGAGTTAAAATATGCGGAGCGAGAGGTCATCGGAGCGTTTCGACGTCGCCGCCAATAATTACGCAATTACGACAAATATTTAGTCCAAAATAACTCTCTCTTCGGTTCATCAACCGCGGCGAGAGAAAAGGACGGGGCAAAAAAGAAAAACGCAGAAGGATGGCGATCGATCGGCTTTAATCATCATTAATTAAACAGTTTCGCGCGTAGTTTAAACATTCATCGTTGAATAAATTGAAACGTGAATTATTGATCGTGTAATCTACCGGGGAAACGGAAACGCAGCTGACAACGCCAACAGGGAAATAAAAAAACAACGGGACGATAAATTTTTTTACTCTGAGAGGGACGTAGAGAGCAAACAGAAGGGAATAAATGATAAAGGACGAACGAACGCAAGGAAACCGCGATTTCGACGGTCGTTGGATCGCAAGGAAGGAGCGTAGACGATGACAACAAACTCGAGAACGTATCAAAAAAAAGCTTCTGAAATCCGTAATCGTCACGAGATTCGCCAAACAACGGCGAAAGAAGTCCACGGGAACGGTTCTCAAAGGATTATACAATCTTCCGCAAATTACGTGACAGTAATTAAACTGAACCGAAAAGGAAAAAAAAAGAGGGGCGAACGTTCGACTCGATCGACTTTCGGTCGAAGCTCAATTTGTTCTCAATTCAACGGCCACGAAAGGCAGCGTTCGAGCTGAGCCGGGAGAGAGGGAGAGAGAGAGAGAGAGAGAGAGAGAAAGAAAAAAAAGGCCGCGGAGAAACTGACAGAAAAGGTTCGAGATGCACGAGACGCATCGAGATTCTCAGGCGTGATGGGAAATTGCCGTCGCATATACGCCGCTCGCACGCTCAGTCAAACTACCCTCCCTAACGCGACGCAGGGAGGAAGCGAGCGAGGCGAGCGTACCATCAAAACAAACTACGGATCAAAACACAGGGGAACGCGATCAACGCGAACATACAACGCGAACGAGAGTCAAACGAGTCGAACGAGAACGCGCACCGGACGTGCGTCGTTCGTTTCTCGACAGAATGTACAATCTTGGAAACGTCGCGTTAAAAAAACGAAGAACGAAAGAAAGAGAGATACCTGGGGATGATACATCGAGGTGGTCTTGCCATCTGTTCGGATGCTGGGAGGTGTAGTGGCGTTGGCGGTCGGCAGATTCCTCGGATTCATCGCGATCTCGGGGCCAGGGTGAATCTTCCTGATTCCCTGGGTACCGGCGGACGGACCCATGGTCGGGGCCTTCACCATCGTTGGCCGCACCCCGTGTGTGTGTGTGTGTATGTATATATGTGTGTATGTATGTATGCGTGTGTGTGTGTGTGTGCTCGTTTCCTCGCGAACGGTGGTAGGTATCCACGCGAAGGAAGAGGAGATCAAGGCAAAGGCAAGCACGCACGCACCGAGCTGGCAAGCAGAGACGAGCAGAAGCAAAATCACACTGGCTGCTGCCGCCGGTTCTATCGATCTGTCCTCTCTCTCTCTCTCGTTGTTTTCCCGTTCGTTTCAAACGGGCGGCAGAAGACAAACTCGTGGACAAACGGGAGGAGAAACGAGAAACTGTCCCTGGTCCTGACGATTGGACCCGAGGAGGACCCGTAACGGTGGCACTCACCACCCAGCGTCCTCGTCGACTATCACCACCGTCCGCCGTTCCCTCCCTCGAACGTACATCGTCTCGTTCTGCCGACCTACCCCGACCTCCTAGCCACGACGCCAGCGCCGCCACACTCGGGGAAACTGTGCTAGACCCTCCGTCGACGAGAGAGGTCTCATCGCGGAACGAAGGGTGGCGGGTTGCATGCCCGTCGTCGGGCACAGTTTCATCCCACCGTTTAACGAATGGATGTTTTTCTTTTTTCTTTTTTTTGGGGGAGGGAGAAGGGGGGAACGTTTTTGTTAATCCGGAAGACGAGACAGAGACTCGGCGTAATTTTTTTAAACTGGGAGCGCGATATTAACCAAAGGACATGCACAACGAATTGGTAATTGGAAATGAATGATTTATGCGACACGTGAATCAATTATTTTAAGCATCTTGGATTGTTTGTATGTTGATCTTTGGGCAAACTGTTAATCCATTTCCAGCGATGGTCGTATGAAGTACAAACTAAACACTCGAACCTCTCCTCGGTACGATCTATCGACTAAAGTGGATAGTCACTCCGAGTACATATCGTACTCGAATTAATAACGTATTCTTTTTCGAAATTTTTTTCTGTTTTTTTTTCTTGTTTTTCAATGCCTTTTGTAGCTTATAACTGTCAGTTATTTTGCAGAAAAGCGCAAATTAAATTTGAAGCGTAATGCAAAGTCGGTTGTTAGATATCTTCGATGTGAAAGTTGATACTTAATACACGAGTAGTATACAGAATTGTGACGTCTGAGGCGGATTATTTCAGTGGAATATCTCAGCGGTTATTGGATAATAAAGATAATCGCACTAAACTTGCTTAATGAAAGAACACGCAATACGATGTTGATGGTTTTTCTTTCTCATGGGTGAAGGATATATGCGCAAAGTTCAACTTTGTTTCTTTTTGAATGGGAACGTATCATTTTTGATGCATCAACAAGTCGATCTCTGCATTTCTTACAGAAAAGTAAATAACTTATTTTTATTGAGAAACCTTTTAGCTTAGTACTAGGTATTTTAACTTTAATTTTATAAAATTTCCAAGGGACCACACCATTGGCATTCTCGCGTTTATGCTGTCGTCGTCGTTCATACGATAGATCTTACGACACAGTAAAATCAAAATATCTACTAAACTTAAACTAATGGTTCTTCGATACACTTGACATCAAGTTTCATAATATATTACAATAACAACCATATATAGCAACATAATATAACAATCATAACGTAATAAAGACAATTTCGAGCGAAATTCAAACTGTATTGCTTTGCTCTCTCACCAAAGATACATTAGAAACGTATTATACACACTCGTAACATTTTACGTTACGAAACTAATTAGACTAAATAACAGGATACACAATATTAGTATGATATTTATAAACGTAACAGCGACAGAAAAATCCGACACGAAGGATTTAACCACTTCTTTCATCCCCGAACGTGAACGTGTTCGCAATTTTCACCATTCGGCTTTCAGCTTTGGTCTTTGCTGCGATTTAATGCATTTCTTTTTCGCCCCTTTTTCCTTTTTCAATTCCTCTCCTCAGGGCTGCATTAGCTGACAGACAAGAAATCTCTCAACACCGCCACGTCTTTTATATATATTTCACAATTTTCTTAAGTTTGAGGAAAGAACGACAGTTTCACTCTCACTTCGAAACACACGTTTCTTCTCGCGTATGAAAGAATCGCAACAATTGGTCGACGACGTTTTATTCCGTTTGCCGCGGCGATCGAGAGAAAGAGAAAGAGGGCATAAGGGAAATTTGCTTGTTGAACAGAGGTGTCGGAATTTATGGGTTTTCGGATACGAGTGCGAGAAATCGATTGAGAAGTGGGGGGAATTGTTACAATTGCTGCGCGAGTCTCGGTTTAGAAATTGTTTCCTTCGTTCGGAACTTTCATCCGCTTTTAAATTCAGATTGAACGCTCATTCCTACGGGGTAGTTGATCCCTACACCGGGATAATAAAATATTGGAAACGTCGATAAAATTCGCTGAAAGCCAAAACGGAAATATATGAAACGTTAAGGCACATACGAGGAAGAACTGATCAAACATATATCTACCTTTGCTTCAAACAAATGAATAAAACATTAACCTATGGAAGCTGTTACATTTTTATTCATCACTATCGCCCCCCCCCCCTCGATATTTCAATATTACTTTCTATACTCTCCGCTATACGTGTACGTAGAAAAATCAGTGATATATTTGATACTTAACTCGCTCGTTACTTCATTCAAGTATATCAATTTTTCATGAGAAGCTTCGAATACTTCGAAACGAGCGTTACTTTACACTTATTTCACAATGTTATATAAAGTTAAAAGTTGAAAAAAATATCGAACAATATAGAATATAATTATTTTACATTCTTACACACGTTTTCTTCGACGATAAAACAAAACGCGAAACATGTAGAAAAATGTAAATTAACAGAATAAAGAATTAAATACACACGCGATGAAACAATATATAATAACGTCCTTACATTACTGTTCTGTTGGAAAACATCTCCACATTCGTGGACCAAGGGAGGTAACATCTAAAAGAAAACCCCAAATATCTAAAGATCCTCGTTTCCAAATATTACCACATTGCAAAGATTAGCGGGCATCATCGTGAGACGAAAATTTTCTCGAACGAAAATTCCACCGTACGATGGATTCAACCCCGCGGTTGGCGGCCTCGTTGTTCCGAGTGTTCTCGACGAAGGTCGTAGGGCGGAAAGTAGAAGAAGGAGAGGGAAAAAAAAAAAGGTGAAAGGGAGAGAGAAGCTCGAAGGCTTGATCGTCGTGGCGAGGGTGAACGCCACGTTCGTTCGAGGGAGAGCCACGAGATTAGGGAAGGGATGAATGGATGACGAAGATGGCAGTGGATGGATGGAAGAAATTGAGACGGGGCGATCGTGATGGCCGTTACCCGTCGTTCAACCGAGTCACAGTGGTGCCGGTCGAGTACGGGTCTTCTCCTGTTTGCCTTTCTTTCGTCCTCACCCGTCCAGGATCGTTTGCGCTGCTAATATTTTCGTAGCCTTTAGTTAGCGGCGCGAGGGGTGGCTCATGGGCGAGGGAAAAAGTCTGAAGTTCGCAAGTTCCGTGCGTATTTAAGCGCCAAGGGTGCAGACAGAGACGAGTATCGCGCTTCGAGTACACGCTGCAGTCGCGAACGCGTTTATGGGGATACCGTGTCGAACTTTCTAGGAACGAGGGTTCGACTACGGGATCGATTATATTGTAAGTTCATTTAAACTTTATTGGGAAGTGATTATTTTCGCACCCTTTCGTATCTACGGGGGCGAAATATGTCTCGTTGCAACGCTCTCGGCGAAATATTATATCATTGTGCTCTATGTAATAGAAAAATAGGATCGCTTAATGTTTAAAAGAACAGTATAACACTGCCAATCCTGTTCATAATTCGTAAACTGTGTATTTTGTGTATTATGTGAATATATTGACTTTTATCTGAATCGAAATTGAAACGAGATACACTGAATATTCGAACGCTTATGTGGAACTTTTTATAAATATATTACGTGTATTGTATTGAAACATTTTGAAACTTCATTAACACTGTAGTGAGAAACGATTGTTACGAGTATATTGGTAAAATTTGAGAACAACGAGGTTATTCTAAATATTTAATATATAAGAAGTTTTATAAATACGTGTCGCGCGTGTTATACAAAACAGTTAAAAATTTCATTAATTCTGTATTCAGAGACTAAATAACGAAAATTATCAAACATACGTAAATAAATGTTAAAGATAATTATTGATATACTATTTAAGTACTTTTCTGATCTCTTGTATTAAATATTTATCATGCAGTTTTAGATTTGTTTCAAACTTGGCCAATATAATCACGAGTCTTATTGAATTATTATTGAGATGTTAAAATGTCTTATATACAATACACATAATATATTCATAAAATATTCCTGTAAGTATACACGCATTGAGTTTTAATCAAATGACAATAACGATATCATGAATGATATTACAAAAAACATCACAAGCCTATGAAAATTTTAAATTTTAAATTTAACCAGAAATAGCTGGTAGATAGATTCAAGTTCTCTATACGTGTTCCAAGCGATATGGAACGCCTAGAACCAAAGGAATGCAAGTGACATTTTCCTGATATCGAGCAGATTGAATTTAAAATTTCGACGTGCTTTGAAAATCACGGGCAATATCTTTATGAAAATTGAACTACACAAGTCTTCTGGAAAATGTATGTGACGAGTATAGGGAAATAAAACGTTCTCAAGAACTGTGATGTAACCTCACGAAGCGAAAAGCTTTCCAGTTCGATGTGACTTTGATTTGCAAATTCATATTGAAATTAATTCATCACATCCTTATTTCCAAATCGACTGTTTCCAATGCGTAATGAGGTAATTTAGAGGACACTGGAACAGGTACTTTCCTAAGGAATGTGGAATTAACGAGATTCCAATTGGAGAAGGAATTATACGAGATATTGATTGCTCGGTGAACACGAGTGTAATATGCTTCTTAACACGTTCGCCGCGCCTTGGATCCAAGTCAGCACGCGTGGAATGCAGACGACATTATCTCGAATAATTGAAAAATCTCTAACAATCTTGAAAAATTGAGAACGAGACA